AGCACCTTGGTGGAGTGACACATGTGAACAGAGTGTTATTAAAACTTATGAAGCTTTAAAACTGTACAGAAGGGATCCAACCATTGATAATTACATTAATTACAAAAGACTTAATGCTGTTAAGAAAAAGACTATTCAGAATCTGTAATACTTTTAACAGAACTACTGTAATACTTTTAACAGAACTACACCTGTTAGTATTATTTGCAAATACATCAAGTTATTTAAAGGAATAAAATGCAATAATAGAACATATAGACGAATTTGTTGTCCCTCTCTTAGAAAATTTTTCTCAAAATGGATGTAGGGTTATTGATAATCTAGAAAGTTATTTTCAAATTAATAATAGCCTTCAGAAGTCCAGTTTCCTCATAGAACCCTTTACTTAGAGTGAGTTTTGTACAAGTTTACAATACAGATGAAACACTACCCCTGGTTTAGATGATTGTCCATATATTTTAATCAAAAACCTAAATCAGTCCGTTCAAAAGAAACTATTAGCTAATCTTAATGCTCTTTGGCACTTAAAAAAAAATTCCTAAATCTTGGAAAACACAGTGTAATCCCTCTACTTAAGCCTGACAAGCCACCTGAAGGTCCTAACTTATATCATGCCATATCATTGTCATCTTGTGTTGGAAAGCTTAATGAAAACATGATAAATGTGCGTCTTGAGTATTATGTAGAGGCGAACAACATCATTCCATAGGTTCAATATGGCTTCCGGAGAGGGCGAAGCTGTGCTGATAGCTTCATCTCTCTCTTGTCAAATCTGAAATATGCTAATAACAATGCTCTGCGAATTATTTCGGGGGCTATGTGTTCAACTCCCATACGAGCTATGGAAGTTGAAACCAAAATAATGCTACTGTGTCTTAGAAGATTTCTGCTAAGAGAGATATTTACTAAAGCTTTATCTGGTAATGATAATGCTCTCAAAATATAGTACCTTTTCCTGTACAATGCTCGGCCCAGCAGACTTCGGGAGGTGAGCTTTTACGAGTTTATTTCCCAGTTCTGCCTCTCATTGTACTGCAAATTAATGAAGATTTTAAAAATGTAATTAAACAATCAAAATGGACATTCCACTTATACCCATATTCCTGTATTATATTTGAGACCAATATTGTTACTAAATTTTTTTTAATAATTTTGAATTATTAAGTTTTCTTTCCGACAATAAGTACTATACTCTGTATACAGATGGTAGCGGAAGTGAGCTCTTTGTGCGCAGTGCTGTTTATGATCCCCAATCCAAGTTTGGTCAAAGTTTTCTTCTGGACCCTAAATGCAGTGTTTTCACTGCAGAGGTATATGCGACCCTCGAGGCCCTGAAGAGGATCGCACGTATAAATAGTTTTAATATATTTTTTTTTTAATTTTAACAGACAGTTTAAGTATGGTCCAAAGTTTAACCAATCTCAGATTTGACTTTGAAAAAAAACTATATTTTGTATAATATTAAAAAATTGTTATTTAGTTATGTATAGCACAAAAGGGTATACAGGTCTCTTTCATGTGGATTCCATCACATAGGCGCATAACAGGAAATGAGATAGTAGATAATATTGCACGTGATGGAACCAACATGTTGGATGTTAGCTCCATAGTAAAAGTACCTTTGACCGACTGTTATCAATCTATTGACAACCAGATCAATAGTTTATGGGTCGAATTTTGGAAACAAGACCAAGAAAAGAAGGGTAATGGTATGGAAATGTTCAAGAAAACCTACCTGTAGCACCATGGTATAACAAACTGAAGATGGCCAATCGGGACTTTATTACGACTATAAACATACTACGTTTTGGTCACTCCACCGTCCCGGCCCACCTGGCTTGGTTGGGCATAGTGGAGAGCAACTACTGCGCCTTCTGCAATAATTCTGTTGGTGATATCGAACATTTCATATTTATGTGTGTGCTTTTCATTTGACAGATTGATTCTTGTCAGTGAAATTAGTGATATGGTGCAAAATCAAGTGACAGTGCAAGATCCCTCGCACCGCCTGAGTGATATGTTAAAAAATAGATCCTATTACGTGCCTCTATATAAATTCATCAAGAATACAGCGGGGAAATTATAATAAACCGAATAAAAATACTCAAGACTTGACCTAAAGGTCTAGATACCAGGCCACAGTGTTGCCATTTTAGCGCTTTGGGAACTAGATCTAGCGCATTTTTGGAATGTATAGCGCACATTTCAAAATGTTTGCACCTAGCGCTTAATCCAGCGCTATGTCCACATTACCGATAATAATAATAATGACCTTTATTATTTTTTCCCACAAATAGTACATCGCAGTTTATCTTTTTCAAACATATTTTTCCACAAAACAAAGAGCATGGCAGACAAGTCCAAACTAGGATACCCTATGCTATGGATCTCCCAGCTCCCCCTTTAGAATGATCAACTTGGTTTTTGTACTGACGACTATAAGCGGGAAAATCCCCTTTATTAAAGTTTTCGTTAATGGTTTTAGCAACGCATTTATTTTGCTTTATTCAGTTTCAGTCAGTTGTTTAGAGCACAGCCAAGTTAAAAGTTACTTAGAAGTTACAACACAAAGAAACTGTGTAGCAACCGCAATCAGATGCTGACATCTGAAACTAAGTTGCGAAATACATTGCACTTTAAAACAATTAATGACATTTTAATTGTTCGTACAGTACTAACTACTGTTGACAGCAATTGCCATAATTATAAGTCGATGTCCTGCGAAGTATGGATACATCAAAAAAATATTGCCAGAAAAAAAGTTAATGTTGTTTTCTTTATTATGATTATATTTTCTTGAATTATAAATTATAATAAAAAACACAAACTTTGTTTGGAGTTAATTTAGAGAGAAATCTAGGGCCTTTTAAAGCGCTGTTTTCATGAAATCTAGCGCTTTTTGTGTTGTCTTAGCGCTGAATGAGATTTTTGATCTGGCAGCACTGCGAGGCCATAAACAAAAAAATGGCCTAAAGGTCTAGATACCAGGCCATAAGCTCCAAAAAAAACACCAAAAAAAATTGACAAGTGTCACTTTCACATTTCACAACTTCCACGAACAAAAATCTATCTTATTTATTTTTGAATAATATTTTATTGGGATGTAAAGTGGTAAAGTGTACAAAGTTTTATAGAGTAATATATACTAACACTCCTCAAGTTTTAATGTCCTGAATAGGTTAGTATGAAAAATTTATTTCACATTGTAATAGCAGCGTTTCGCTTCTTTTTATGAATTATATTCATGTTTTTTTCGTAGATTTTAATAAAAAATGACTACTAAATTATCCGTAGCATTGATACCAGTCGGTGTCCGTGGTATGAAAGTACTTGACCGTCAGAAATTTTTGCGTAACGTAATGGTACCGATACTTAAAGTGTCTGAAGAAAAAGTGTCTAAAATTACCCCAATATGCAAGAATTATCTGTTGAAACTTGAAAATTTTAAGCCTGTTCAGTCTTTACATGGTGATATTGAAGGTTCAAATAGGAAATGCATCTGCATATTTTCAAAATTTATTTATTTTGAAAATAATATTTACAGTTACCAGTGTACAGATATTAACTAAATTAAATATTTCTAGTCATAAAAATATTTATAATTGAGTATAAACTTTTAAAAAACTAATATATATTTGAACGAAGTCGCTCCAACAGCGACGCGCGGTCCACTCTCGACGATGTCCGAAAACGGACTGCGACAGGGCGACGGAGCATGCACACTCGCGTAAATATATTCAATTTCAGGGAAAAATTATATATTCTCTTATAAAACGGGGAATAAAAATAAAACTCTCAATTAAAAATATTAATATTTTTTATTATTTGTAAGAACTATTTAAAAAGCTTGTGCCGTTTTGGAGAAATTTTGCAAAACATGACAAAGATAGGTACTCTTTGGGGATTTTTTTCTAATAAGGGGTTGACAAAAATACAATTTTGTTCAAATAAAAACATTTACCAAATCCTCTTCTGTTACCCTGTATTTTTTCTTTGTGGATTAAATGAACAGTTATTGAGATTTTTTACTTAAATATCCAAGATTTAGGCATTTCAACCACTGTTAAGGCCCATTGTGCGTGATATCCAAACGGTTCTAGCGATATGTCATGATATCTTTATAAAGTAAGAATCTTATGTAGTAGCACATATTTATATAGCTTTATTATATTACAAAAGTTGATGGGTCTACTGAAAATAAATAAAAAATGCTGTGTCTGTCTTTTGCATCCGTTTAACACGGATCTCTAGCGCTTAGACGGTATGAGTTACTTATTATGTAGTATGAGATACAGATCGGATATTTAGTAGAATATTGACCCAAAAACAAATATTGAATTAATCATTTATTAAAACTATTTGTCTTAATCACATACAATACAATGGAATAAGCATCAGTAGCCTAGTGGCAGGGCGCGGACCGCGAACTCGAAAGGTCGTGGGTTCGAATCCACCATACGACTACTGTCGTGAACCACTTCTAACACAAGCATTTTAAGCTTAAAAGAGGTGCTTTAAGGGAATATTAGTAATGCTTTAGCATTACTAGTATTTTTATAATAAAAAAAATATATAATGGAGCCAATAATATTTTTTCTTACCGTGGCATGATGGAGCTCATTGAATAGTATACAAATATATAATATATATACTAGCTTTCCGCCCGGCAGTTTCACCCGCGACATAATGATTTGGATTTTCCCACTAGAACATGAAAAAACCGTGCTAAAAATAGGTAAAATCAGGAAAATGATTTTGACAGTAAGAGCACCAGAATTCTACTGCAATACGTCTCTATAAACGACATTTCTAGACTTGTTGTTTTCTGCATAAACGTTGAGATTTCTGGCCCTCGATACACGTGAGCAACCGACGTAGAGCTGCCCGTGTGAGAAACCGAGGGTACTCAAATGAATTCAGGCGACTTTCAATGTTTGTCCTTGGCTCTTGTTTATCGTAATAGAGAAGGCTACTTTCAAAGGGAATTGTAAGCGTTTGAACTAGAAAGGCAAGTTTGTTGGGATGACAGGGATTCGTGGAATCAAAACAGTTTCGCCTTCCGCCCCGCCAGTGATGATTGTAGCTACCACAATGTGCCTTCTTAATTCAGTGATTCGTAACCTAGTGCCATTACATAATTTTGGTGCATTCAGGTTTCTCATCAGTATAGCAGGCACTCCAACTTTTAGCTCTAACTTATGGGATGGCACCCCCGACAACTCCAATGAATTTAAAAACTCTACTGGATATGTAGTTGAGTCGTCACTTGCCATAACTGTATCGATGGAAGTATATGTCGTGACCTCACCATTTACTAAATGAAGGATTTTTTTATTGATTTTTCCCACCGATTCGTTCTTAGGCGCCATAATTGCTCTTTCACATAACCATTCTTCATTCACGATGTTTTGTTGTAAGTTTGGGAAAACCTCAGTAATTAGGTTATCTTCGGAGCTTACAATATTGCAAAAGTGCGTCTCAAATTTTATCAGGCCGTCCTCATCCGTTGCCATGTGGCCTTCGCCAATATCGATGCGGTTTTGAGCAAAAACAACAGACTCATGATCATTGTAGACCTGTACTCTCATATTTGTTGTGAGATGCATTCTCTCTACTTTTGCCCACAACGGCGAAGCCTTGAGGCACGCGTTGATCTCATCTGCCGCAGTACCTCGCTCAATAACCGGCAACGTCTGCCGGAAATCGCCTGCAAGTAAGACGACTACTCCACCCATCAACACGCGGTTTCCGCGGATATCTTGCAAGCTACGATCAAGCGCCTCGATCGCAGGTTTGTGTGACATCGTGCACTCATCCCACACGATTAATTTGCACTTCTGCAATAGAGTGCCACGTCCACTGCTTTTGCTTATATTGCAAGTTGGTGTTTCCTCACTTGTGAGGTTTAGTGGTAACTTGAATACCGAGTGAGCAGTTCTTCCTACACTTAGCAAGGTCGCGGCTATACCAGAAGATGCAACAGCTAGCGCGACATTCTTGTCCTTGCGCAACTGCGCTAACAGTAAATTCAACAGGAATGTTTTGTCTGTGCCTCCTGGTGCGTCTAAAAAATATAAACCACCTTCTCCGCTCTCCACACGATCCACAATTTTATTAAAAATTTGTTTTTGCTCTGGTAAGAGCTCGGGTATATATCATATTTATGTTATTCCGGGTCATATTCTATCTGTTTCTTTACATTTCCGCTCAGCAGTTTCAACTGAAGACGAAGTTTTCGTGTTTTCCCGTGGGAATAAGTTATTATAAATAAAACTAATTTTACGGATTCTATCGCGTATATTAACTTATTTTATCTTTCCGACGTTTCGGGTGCTTTCCAGCACCCGTGGTCACGGGGGACTGAGGTGTTTGACGTCCTGCTGTCATAGTTAGCCCGACTGCCTTCAGTTTTTTAAACATAATTTTTGGTTCGATTTATGCAGTATGAGCTTACAGTATCTTGAAGTCTAGGTATACTTGGGTTTGGATTTGATTTTATTAATTATGGGATCCTAAGCAGATGGCAGCACCCATCCATCTTCTCTATTGAAATTAGGATGTTTTTTTAATTTCAATAGCCTCGCGAATCATCCTTGGGAGGAATCGGTGTTCTTTTGCGAGGATTTGTGGTCTATCAAATCTAATGTAATGGCGGGGACGATCTTGAACATGTTCACAAACTGCAGACTTCCCGCTACGTCGGTGCTTCACGTCATCTATATGTTCTTTAACGCGGGTTTTTATAGATCTTTTTGTTTATCCTATGTATGAGAGACCACATTCACAATCCAGCTTGTACACTCCTGCATCATGTAGAAATTATGACACTTGACGGATGGTAAAAATTGACCAATCTTCTTCAGCGGCTTGAAGTATGTTTTAATGGAAGCTCGCTTCAAGATGTAGCCAACCTTGTCTGTGACTCCTCTGACATAGGGTAGTACAGCAGACACACGCTCGACTGTGGCTGGCTTCACTCTGTCACTGTGACGTAGGCGCGGGACCCAAAGCTTGTTGTCTTGCAGTACTTGCTCGACGTGCTGAAGCTCGGCGGCCAGATGTTTTCTGTCACAGATCCCTCGTGCTCTCTGAAACAATGATTTTTCCACGGTAGCTAACTGTGAAGAATGATGGTGCGATTCACCATTTAAATATCGGGTGGTATGGGTATTTTTTCTGTACACAGTATGACCAATAGTGTTATCAGGATTTCGGATGACTAAAACATCTAGGAAAGCTAAAGTATTGTTTGCCTCTAACTCCATTGTGAATTGTATTTTAGGGTTTATGGGATTAAGGTGGTTTAAAAATGCAGTTACTTTGTCAGACGGTAAAATTATGAAAGTATCGTCTACGTACCGCTTGTAGAATCTTGGATTTACAGGAGCAGTAAGACGGGCTTTCTCCTCAAAGTCCTCCATGAATATGTCGGTGACTACGGGTGAGCCCATTGCCACTCCGTCTACTTGCATGTAGAACTCTTCTTTCTGCAATAAATAGCCAGATGTGAAGCAGTGTTTGAGTAATACTGCGTATTCTGTGGGCATGTTTTTATCTTCTAGCTTTCTAGTAACAATTGAGATGCAGTCTTCAATAGGTAGGCATGTGAATAGTGACTGAACATCAAAACTGACCATAGTTTCATTGTCACCGAGATGTAGGTCTTTTATCTCACTAACAAAATGGTATGAATCCTTTGTGTGTGCTCTGGTATGTCCTCTTAGTGGTGACAGTATTTTTGCCAAGTGTTGAGCCAACTTATAAGTTGGTGAATAGATCTGACTTACGAGGACGTAGTGGAGCGTTTGGTTTGTGTATTTTCGGTAACCCATACAATCTCGGTGGTTTGGCACATGATGGTATTCTCGAATTCACGTCGAGATCTAATTTTTCGGAGTATTTCTTTTAATTATCCTATGTGTTATTCCAGGTTTTATTCTATTTGTGTACCAAATTTCATCCTAATCCGTCAAGTCGTTTGAGCGTGAAGAGGTAACAAACATACACACACACGCACACAACTCTCGGATTTATAATATTAGTATGGATATTAGTAATAGTATGGATATATATATATATATATATATATATATATATATATATTGTTACGGCCGACGGCTGCTCCCTTAAAAGGTCGAATCCTCAGGGGCCCATGGGCTGAAGACTTCCCGAGCAGACGTAGGTCGGGCCTCAATGTGGCCACGTGGAATCTCTCTAATTACACTAAAATATATGGGGGAGCGTTATACTACGGCCAGTCGACCGGAAGGAATTTGGACGTAGCTTACTTACCTATATCCAAGGCGACTGGTCCCTCCGGAGTCGGTCAGGTCGCATGTGGTTGTGTAGTACAAGGGAAAGAAGGTGATGTGATGTGTATCTGGGTGTGACTGATGGTGATTGAACCTAGACCTTAGCTGTCGGCAGCAGCCCGGGCGTCAACACCGCTCCAACTTGAGGGGGCCCTCCGAGGCGTTGTCCACATTCACTTTCCTCGTTCGTCACGATGACAGTCAATTAACTCTATCGTGCGATTAACTAACTTACAGAAGCCACTAACTATCGCGGGGTATAAGGTTACCGCACAAAACGCACACGGAGTTTCTGGATCAAAGGTCGCTACCGTTTCGCGTTGCAACAGTTAGTTCTAGAATATCAGCTCGCATCAGCTAATATTGCCGAATGCACTTATGCAGATTCTGAGTCAGACACAATGTGTCCCGGGGAAGCTCTCCAGTAGGGATGCGCGCCACAAATCCTAGACCGTATTTTTACTGTCCGCGCTTAATTATTACGAGTTCCTGACAAGAATGACAGCGTGCCAATCGTTAGCACTGCTTAAAGATGACTGACTGCCCTTGGGCGTTTTACGCACGACCGAATGTCAAACCCGTATGACACTGAGCCGCGCGCCCTCTCGCGTTCGTTCCTGAAATTAGCGTTTAGCGCGAACATATATATATATATATGACAGGCCTGTTGGTCTAGTGGTTAGTGACCCTGACTGCTATGCCGGAGGTCGTGGGTTCGATTCCCACCCAGGACAAATGTTTGTGTGATGAACACGATCATTTGTTCTGTGTCTGGGTGTAATTTATCTATAATATTCATGTATTTAGAAATATATAAGTATGTTTATCAGTTGTCTAGTACCTATAACACAAGCTCTGCTTAGCTTGGGACTAGATGGCGTTGTGTGTTAGTTGTGGAATATTATTATTATTATTATATATATTCATTCTTTTTGATCTTCTAAATAAAGAAATGGGGGACCGTCAAATATGTCTTAGATCTTATTTGTCACGTGGTCAAATTCAGTTCTCAATGAAACTGGTTAGGATTTTTTCAATTTTTTTTATATTATGGTACAGCTTTTATATACAGAAGAATTAAAGAGATATATAAAGATGTACTATATACTGCACAAACATAAAAATACTGAAAACTTTGATTTAAGTAGGTTACAAACCTTGCTATGACCAAAACAAACGAACATTTTTCAGGAAAAAAGAAAATTGGTCATAATACATACGGAACCCTAATCGAGCAAGGCCCGATACGGACTTCGCCGATTTTATTTGTGTTTAGTCATAAATCTACCTTACCTACCTATTGTAAAAATATTAATAACGTATAATAAAATTTTAAAACGGATAAAAGTTTTGTAATGAATGTTACGTGCTGTACAATCGCATCAGTTTGTTTCGAATTAAAACATTGTGTATTTTTACGTAACCATTTACAGATGACAAATGGTGGCAAAATATTTGTAATTTTTTCCGTGCTACTTTTATTCGTATTAAACCCATTAAAATGTTTTCAATTCCTTATAAATTTGCTGAAATATGAGTCTTTACATGATCATAATTAACAATTCTTGTAACAACACAATTATCTAGATCTAGAATTTAATTATAATATACAATTTCGTTCCATGCTAAAGTACAGTAAACGATTACGAATAAATAGTATTTTATAAAATAACTGTAAATAATATAAAAAATAGTTAATATTTTTAATAATTTGTTACAAAATTAAGTGTGTGTATGCAAAACATTAGTTTTTCAAGTTTTGTTAATGTTAAAAAAAAAAAGAAAAATTAAACAGTTATACCAACTTATTTCGTTTTTAATCGCCGTTCTCAACCCACCCTCTTTAGATCGCTTTTGTCGCGAAGTTTAATCACTTAATTTAGTGAACCAATATTTGGAACGACAATTTCGAATGAGCGTTTCCTCCACCTGAATTTATTCAGCGTTGAAACATTGCTGTTTGTCTTCGTCCGAACGTTATTTACTTAGGCCGGTTCCTGCCGCGCGTTAATGGAAATTTTAATGTAATATAATTGTTTTTTTTTTACTACTTTAATACCTACTTTTATAATTTTTATTGATATAGGTACAATAAGTAAATCTTAATGTGGCGAATTTAAGAATAATCAAGTAATTAGCTCCAATGGGGCCCTCATATTATATCTAAACTAGCCAGCAAACTTAGTTCTGCAGCATAATATGTTGTAAAAACGATTAGAGGCCTTACATGTGTTGAAACAGCTACATTAGTTTATTTTAGTTATTTTCATAGCATAATGTCATATGGAATCTTACTATGGAGTAATGCGACTGCTGAAAATGCGATGCTAAAGAGAGCCATAAGAGCAATTTATAACCTAGGTCCAAAGGAAACTCTTAAAGTAAAATTTAAAGAAATAAATATATTAATTTTGGCCTCTCAATATATTTACGAGAATTTAACGAATGTACACAGAAACAAAAATTATTTTATTAAAAATAGTTATGTACAT